CAAGGTAATAAATTCCCTTATATATATAGGGCATGGGAGTTAGTTCCCTTATCCTAGGTTATTTAACCTAGGTAATTGGGCTGCTTTGTTTTTTACGGCGCCTCGGGATTTCCCTAATGATGGGGGGATGTCACGTGTCAGCCACTGATTGGTCCCATCGGAGCAACTCTTTGGGTGGCACGTGTCACCTTCTGCCCCGGGCGAATATGTACTAATTATACTATATATTGTATCATCATATAATTTTTATACAACATAAAAAAATTTCAAGATCAATGGATCTCAATAGCTAATTATGTTTAAAAATTAAGTTTTGGGTTAAACTGCTCAATTTGGCTTACTTCGCCAGGAATCTGTCTATGCTTAAGAGATGCTCACAAGCTGTTACATGATACGGAATACTTTGGAATGGTAGGAAAAGGCATAAAGGGATTACTCATAGGCATTTGTTGTCGCAACTACAAGTCTATAACACAATAAACAGGATCAAAACCAACTTGTATTAAACCAAATACGAAGTATGAATTACATCTTAAAGCAAAAGGCATTACTGCATAATTGAACCCCTTTGGCAAAAACAAAGTAACAGCTGTACAAGGCAGATTTCAAATTGAAATTGAAGCTGATATTGAAGAAGTTTAACATAGAAAGTGACATTTGCTCTACAGTAAGCAAAAGCAACATCAAATACCTCTCAAGTTTTGAGGCTCCAATATCATATACCAACTATTCCTTTGAGACTATTTTATCATATTACCAACGAGCAAATTCCACCCTTGCAAAATATTTAAAATCCAGCATCAACAGCTTAGTTCCTGTAGTTGCCAAATCGACCTCTTAGCCATGGTTGCCTTGGCTGATTAAAACCGCCACGTACTGCACCACCACTGTTTGTGTGAGCAAAAGTCCTCAACCTCTGCTCTTTCATATTGGCAAACAGTGAATCCAATGTTTTAGGTTTCTGGTTTGGCATCATCTCCCCTCTCTGAGAAGGTTGCTGCTGTTGTCGTTGCTGCGGTTGTTGCCGTTGCTGCTGTTGCTGTTGCTGTTGCTGCAAGAGTTCAAACATCATATCAAGCTCTCACACATACACCCTAAAAAGTCATAAAGATTACATATTCTCAACGTTCAAACATCATATCAAGCTCTCACACATACACCCTAAAAAGTCATAAAGATTACATATTCTCAACTTCCAAGACTTGAACCCAACCTCCATCCTAAATTCAGCTTGCTTTCAAAGGGAAACACATTCTATCACAACTGCACTAAATTGCAAGCTTCCAAATAAAAGATAATAGAGGCACCACATATTATTGTAGGTAGACACTAGACATAGTTTTTACGGAGTACATAGGAAGGTTATCACTAGTTGAAGTTTTTATTGAAGGCAAACCATTCCAAAAGAAAAATGGGTGAAACAGGCAAGGGCCTCAGGTTGGTTTCCTGTATCTTGGCCAAGGTTATCAAAATAAACCATATCTACAAATTGAACCAAATACCTTATGAACATTGCTTCCCATTGATGCATTACCCTGACGTCTCATCGGACCAGCAGCTCTGCAACAAAAGACAACATCACAGAAGTGAAATCAGGTTATCGTCTAATAGAACTCAACTAGGGCAGCAATTACCGCCATAATGTCCCAAATATCAGATGAATAACCAGCGTAGCCCATCAGGAAAAACAGCCATATTCTAAATCCATTATCCAGAGATTTTATACAACAAACCATATTTCAAATAAAGACAAAAATCACGAGCTACAGAATTGCATATAGCGCTGTTCCAGATATGTACTTCCCTTAAGACTTGTAAATGTACGGATAAGATCCAATCATCCAAACCCCCAATACTTGCAAGCAAACTTGAGAAAACAATCAAAGGAAGAAACCAACATGAAGCAATGGCCCTTCATGAGTTCAAACACCTCCAGATGTTGCATGCTACAGGCAAATTCTTTTGAGACGAAGCTCGAAGGATTACTGAATGCTACTTAGTACAATTATGTACTTTCTGATGAATGTACTAGCTTCAATGGGAGATTAAACATAAATGAAGCACGCCACAGCACCGCCAATCACAAACATAACCAGATTCTTAACTATCAGATTACTGTGAAGATAAAGCAACTGCATTCAACTTAGGACACCACATGCAATGCTAAAAAGAGCCTCAACCCATTAACAACCCAGATAATCCATCATAGACTTCCCAAAATTCTTCAAATTTCCCCAAATTGAAGGCTGACAACGTAACAAGCAGGAACAAGTACTACGCATTTACGGTAGAAATAGTTTGTCACAACTGGTGGATATCGGCTGTGACCTACACTGCTACACATAGCCAAGAGGCAATATGCAAATATTAAGCTGATCCAGAAGATGGATCAATAATTAGCAACAAGACAGACAGATCAAGTTGCAACTTGAGTTTTGCAAAAGCATGGCAGGTTCTAGATTGTGCAGCAGGTTTGAAGTTGGGCATAAAGCGGTAAAATATGGAATTGTACTGACAAGGGAAAGTAAAACAGGCAAGCTAACAGTGCAAGAAAGGCCAATGAATCCTCAAAATGGCAAATCAGACAACTCAAAGCAGGGGGTGCAAATAAATGAATAACTCTGTCAGGAGGATAACAGAACAACCCCTTATAAACTATCATTTCCCCCAGCAGCAAATTACTGTTGCACATACTCTTGACCTGTCCCCAAAGGATAATTCAACAGCTCCAAAATTGAATAAAAACCACGTATCTTTCCACAATGATCCAGCATCAACCCCTAACACCTAACCTCAAACCAATGGACATCCCAATAGTTAGCTTTACAGAACCTTGCCACCATTATCAAGGTATTTGAGACCATAAGTAAACGCGAAAGCTAACCAATTCAGAGGCCCTTATGCATTTAGCAGATGAGTAATTTAGGTGCAGAGATGCTACATGGGCCTAAGAACCAATAAGGTGTATTTAAAACTCAACGGAGACCATTCAAGACCCTCTGGCATTTGGAGCAACACAGCGAAATGTTCTTATTATATAACCGGAACCAGGTGGAAGGGTCAAGTATAACAGAATCATGATTTACCTGCCAAGCAATTATTGAAGAAACCTCATTATAGTCCCAATATTAGACAATACTATAAATGGTTGGCACCCATAAAAGGTACAGACAACCTTACCTTGGTCTGTTCCAGTTAATGGCCTTGCTACGATTAAAACCTCCATTGCGAAAGGGGGCAGCCACTGCCTTCCGAGCAGCATCAGATGCCAAAGGGAAACTATTTCCCTGAAAATTGGACCTTTTCTGAGCAAGAACCCCCTGAACATAACAGCAAACAGAAGGCAATATTCAAAAAAGTGTATCACACAAGAAGATTTAGGGTATGGGGATGATTTCAAGAGACCCAAGAAAAAGTTATTAGCACCAACCTGCCTAAGAGTAGACCTTGAATCCATATATTGTCGCATCTTCAAAGCTCTAGCTTGTTTTTCATTAGTAGGTGTCCTAGTTTTATTCTGCAAACCACATTTGGTAAGGGGAAATGTCATTCACCTAGAATTATCTGATAATGATTACCATTTAACAACAAATAAAAAAAAGCACTAGTCAATAACGAGCCATACCGAAACCCTCTGCTTCTTGGGTTTGCCAACATTTGTTTTGGACATCTTAATGATATCATCTGCACAAAATTACAACTTTATTAAAATAGCCCAATGAAATCATCTCAAAGATGCGTCATTTGTTGATGAACTACAGACATTACCTAAACTCATATCCATTTTTTTCTCAGTTAGAGCAATAGCCTCGGTTGTAAGCGGTTTCGTAGCCATCTGAAAAGAACATATAAATCAATACTAGGTTTGGAAAATAACATCACATTTAATCAGGAAAATCTTAGGGTTTATAGCACACAAAGAGGACACAGAAATATTCAACAATCTTTTCTCTTTTCAAATCTATATTCCATACTTCAGAAATCACAAAGAATTTCAAAGTTAAATTATATTCCATACTACCAAACTCCAGATGACGGCATAAAATCAAGAAATCACAAAGAATTTCAAAGTTAAATTATATTTTGGAATATAATCGACGCATCAGCTAGTGAAAGAAGCAAAGAGCACCATAAAACACAAAATTAAGCAAGAAACAATCATAAATCGGGAAAGAATCCCATTTTCAATTGCAATAAATAGCCTAACACTTCTTTCTACAATTTCCACAATTTCAGTATTCTGCCTTAATTAGAAATCGCTAAACAAACCCTAAATTTTTGTTGATATCCATAAGAATTATAACAAGGTTACACAATAATAATCCTTCAACAAAGATGAATCAAATCGTGATAAAGCTGTATGAAACCCTAATTTTAAAGAAAAGAGAGGACGCAAACCTGAAATCGCAAGAGTTTGAGAAAGAAAAGACGTTAATCGGTTAATCGGAGAGATTTTGATTGAAATTGACGAGAATTTGAGGAAGAAAAGACGTTAATCGGTTAGTCGGAGAGATTTTGATTGAATTTAGAGTTTCGTAAAATTTAACGAAATAGGAGAAAGCGGGCAAAATCAAGTTTTATAGGATGTCTGGAGAACAAGAGCGGTTTATCGCAAAAGGGTATGGAAGAAGTTTCGTAGCGATAGAGAAGTAAGATATCAAGCTTATCAACTAAGGCGCGGTTTAGTTCACCTTATTTTTACTTATTTCAGAAAAAATAAGTTCAGAACAGATCAGAAAAAATAAGTTCAGATCAGAAAAAATAAGTTCAGTTCAGGAAAAATAAGTTCAGATCATATCAGATCAGAAAAAATAAGTTCAGATCAAATTATTATTATTATTATTATTATTATTATTATTGATTTATGATGTATCGGATTTGATTTTATCGTTTGTTTGAACTAGCAACATTGTCTATGTTATTAAATAGCACAAACAATAACGATAATAATTAAAATTTCATTATAAGCTCCAAATCATAAACGTTTACAAATATAATTTTCATTTCAAGACGTTCCAAATTTCATTCGCTATATTAAGTTGTACTTCTTTCATTACAGCTTTACGATTCTCGTTAAACAAATCATAATCTGCTCTTGGTTCGATTTCTATACCACTATCAATGGGTATATCCAACTCATGTAATCGAATAAAATTGTGAAGTGTGAATGTAGCAACCATAATTGTCAATTGATGTTTAGTGTCCATTTGTGGCATCATTGTCAATATTTTCCATCGACCTTTTAATTTTCCAAAACATCTCTCGATCGTTGTTCGAAGTGAAGAGTGAAGATAATTAAAAAGTTCAAGCATGCCTTGTGGTGGTGGACCATTTCGAAATTCAGGCAAATGGGTTCTAATATCTTTTTCTTTTATTGGACTCAAATATCCAACGGTATTCGGATATCCAGAATCTACTAGATAATATTTTCCTGTTACAAAATAAAATTATACAGCATATTAGTATAGTGTCATGTATGGAGTAAAAACATACACTATTTTAAATTATACCTGGAGGTGGATGGGGAAATCGAAATTCTGGTACAGTTAAGCAATGGTTCCATACAGTAATATCATGAGCACTACCTTCAAATCCAACGTTGATAAACGTGAAAAGCCTATCAAAGGAACAAGCAGCCAAAACATTCCATGTTTTTTTTCCTTTACGCCCTCGGTGTGCCACACCATCATCATCGCTTACAACTGCATTTATATGAGTCTCATCCAATGCTCCAACACAATCCTAATAGTTCATTAACATTTAGGATACATTTTATAAGTGATTATATATTGCATATGCATAAAATAATATAATGACAATGCAAGATAATAATAATGTTTCTTAATACCTTGAAATATGGCCAATATTTTGTGTTGTCACCTTTTTTTTTTGGCACCACGGTCAAACTTTGGTATGGTCTCATGATCTCGGTAGACAAATGAACCATTGCTTCCAGTACTTGTTTAAAGTACAACCCAATTGTTGCAATAGAGTGCTGAAATCGACCGGCAGCATCACAATAAGAACTGCCTTTAGCCATGATATATAAAAATATTCCTAATTGCTCAGCCACAGATATGTAACGACCATCCGATAATAAATTTTTATTTTTCATGCAAGCAACAAGATCCACAAATATGTTTCTATCTAATCTCAATTGTTCTTTGCATAAATCAGGATGGGCATGTAGTAGTTTGTTTATGTATTCGCTACCAGATTCTCCACCTAACCTTAGAGGCAATCTCTCAATTGGTGTAAGAAGTCTCTTTAGCTCTTCCAATGCGATAATTGTCAAGCACATTGGAAGTGTGTTATCCATTCTACAACATAAACCAACAAAATACCAACATTATTCAATTTGTAAAATAAAATCAACAATGACTTTTAAAATAAAAGCTAAAGCTTCTTAATTAGATCACCTGAAAAGCAATAGCATCATATGAATCTACTTAAACCTAAAGGTCAGAAAAAATAGTAGCTTCATATGTGGAACCTTAATTAAAACTAGAACAACATCAAATAGCTAACAAAGAACATATGAAAGTGCAAAACAAGTCATAGGAAAACATAATCCAAAGTTAACTTCAAATACTCATCTCCCCAAAAAACTAATTAAGGACCACCCAATGTTGGATCTTGAAATGTTGTCTTCAAATACATGATCTTCTGATCATCAGTACGGAGACCTAAGAAGAAATCTGCATTATCGCCATGATGAAGAAAATTCATACATTGGTAAATAAATCTTTCTCCTTGTTAAACAATAGCCTCAATATTGTATAGAGCATCTGAGATATCTTTATACTTATTACCACTCCCTTGCTTACAATTAGTTTCAATAGACATTTTCAACAACTCTATACAAGAGTCAATGTTACTACTCTTGTTTTTTTTTTTTAAGTTTACTAGTACACCCATCACTCTTACGTTTCCCCAACGAGGTACTTTTAGGAGGTGAAATGCTCTGTTCATCATCCGAATTATTTATTCCCCTACTTATTTCCATATCTCCTATATTTTCATCACTGTCCCCGGACCTTTCCTCATTTTCTTTACCAATTTGTTCCCCACCTAATCCGAGAGAAAAACTCCATTTGCTAGTAGCAAAAGACCTGAAAAAAGTGCCCGTAACTTCTCTAGATGAGGCAATGGTCTCCTTAGGAATCTCGCTGGCAGACCTTTCTGTTTCTGTATAAATGCACAAAACTTCGATTAAATAAATTTTAAAATAAACTAGTATTGTAGAGGTCATAATGCAACAAAATGGATAAACAAAATGTCGTACCTTCACAAATATATTCCACCTATCATCTTGTTCAACTACAGGACAACCAGTAATAGGATCAAATGTAAGACCGGTCCAATTGAGTTCCATTTCATTCCAAATTTTGAACCTTTTCCTTAAATCATCCCAATGATTTCTTGCTTGTTTAATGTTGAAATTCTTCCCACTTTTAACGTTCAAAGTACTCACTATTCTATCCCAATTAACTTTTGATAGTCCACCTGCTTTCATCTCCAAGCATATGTCCAAAAAAATTTATGTTATGTCATCAGACCATGCTACCCTACCAGCCATTACACTATGATCAAGAGCACTTTAAAATTATTAGTTTCATGCATGGAGGATACAGATAATCAAAATAAGTACATAAATATATACGTTACGTTTCTTCTTCATCAAAAAATATATACGTTCCACTTCTAACATCTATTGAGAAACTAGGACCAAATAACCAAGGACATAGATTATCATCAAATTGCCCATTAGCTGAGTTGGTTGGTTAGAGCGTCGAGCTAATAACGCGAAGGTCCCAGGTTTGATCCCTGCATGGGCCATATTTTTGGTTTTCTCACAATCCTCTTTCTATTATTTTGCAATTTATTTTTATTTAAAATAAATAAATAAATAAATAGGTTTTCAGAACTAGTGGTGTAAATTGTAATGGTTACATCACATCAACCGCAAAGTTCACGCAAGCACAAAACAAGAGTTTACCGAATTTTATAATTTAATTTTCCATTCCTCTTCAATATAACAATTTCCCTAAAATAAAAAAAAAAAAACAACCATAAAAACCCGAAAACCCTAATTCCCCTCCCCTTTCATTTCTCTTTTCTCTCTCCTCTCCTCTGCCTCTTTTCCCTTTCTCTCTCCTCTCCTCCTTCCTCCTTCTCCCCGTAATATCTCTTTACCTTCCTCCTCTGATATCTTTTCCTTCTCCTCTCTATTTTCGATTGAGTTCTCCTCCTCCTCTTTTTCTCTTCTCTCTCATCAACCACTAACCAAGCCGCCATTAACGAAGCATCTATTGTCATTTTTAAAGGTTTTTAAGGTCAATTTCGACCAAGAAAACTCTAAAGCTAGAGGTTTCTTGGTCGAATTTGGCCTTATTAACCAAGTTTGAGGTGAAGTTCGAACCTATTTCAGATTTTGAGGTAAGATTTCGTGATTTTAATTTATTTTTTTTTAAATTGTTGAAATTCGATTTTTGGTTGGTTTTTGTGGTAGGTTTTGGACGGTTGGGGTGGTGACGGTGGTGGTTTGGGAGGGTTGAGAATGCCGAGGTGGGGGTGGTGGTGGTGGGGATCTGGGATTTGTGGTTAATTTCGAACGGTTTGGGTGGTTTGGGTGTTTTCGGGGGTGGTGGGTGCGTGTGGTGGGTATGTGCAGTGGGTGCGTGTGGTGGGGATGGGGGGCTGGTGGAAGGGTTGGTGCGTGTGGTGGGTGTGTGTGGTGGGTGTGTGATGAAGTGATGATTGTAGACGAAATTATACTCCGTAACTACGTAGTATGTAAAATTATAAGTTCAATTATAATTATAAGTATTGAAGTATTGTATCAACTACACGTAACTTCCATCAAGTTATAAGTTCAATTATAAGCTCCCAAATGTATACTTCGTATGTATGTAAAATAAATTCTGAAATTATTCAACTGTAGGCTATAGACGCCCAACAGATGAAGTGATGATTGTAGATGAAATTATGAAAATATAATAAAAAAAATAATAAAGAGTTAAGGTATTTACCTGTCAACGAGATTGTACACGAGCAAACTACTACAATGACCAACAGAAGGACAAAATTTGGGAGAGATTGATGTGTTGTAGGTAAGAGATATTGCAATACGAAAAAATATATATATACACAAAAAAAACTGTAGTACCAAACTACCAATACTCCCAATTAATATTTTTGTCACCCAATTCAGATTTCTAGAATTGACTGACAGTAAAATTACAGTACCGAGAAACCCAATTCAGATTACAGAAAAAGTAATTCAAAATAAAAAAAATAGTGAAGAGTAGCAACAATGGTGAAGAGTGTAAAGTAAGCACAAAAAACAGAGAGGAGAGAGAAAGTGTGAGTACAGAAAAAGAGATAGACAGTTGTTATGGAAAAAAAAAGCAAGGTCAAAATCTGGAAAAGTGAAAAATTAAAGAACTAGAAAACAAAGTAAAAAAATAATTAAATCATTCCAAAAGGTTAATTAAAATAAAAATCATTTATATGCTGCATTTGCTACATGAATTGAAAAGCTAAACTTATATAGCTGAAAATAAGGTTAATTATGAATCATTTTCCTTACCTTGAAGTTAAAAACATATATGCGTGTAAGTGGTCATATTCGGACTTGATTTACTCGAATAACATACAATCCCATCGTTTATTTATCTATTTATTTATTTGTTACTAATGCATCAAAAAATCTTAAATTTTTTGGAAAAGAGACCAAAATTGACCCATTATCACTCTCTCTATGGGTTGACTACGTTAGAAAATAAGGTGGTCAGAGTGGTGATAGAACTCTTTGCCTGAATAAGCTTAAACAATGAAGACTGAAGAGTCGTAAATTTCATGACTGTTGCTTATAATTTACGCATTTTTAGCCTTAACCTTGGTCTGCAAGCAATAGCCCAGGGTGACAAAAAAATTAACAATACGTACAGTTACATTTATGGGTACTTGTGTGTTTTCTGCCCTAAAATTGACCACATTTATTATGTTGTGATCATTGAATAATGCTGTCATCTTTGATTCTTTGAACATACATACATGTTCAGAATTGATTCCTCAGTGACTAAACCATCTATACTAGTGAAATTGATATGTACAAATTTTACGAGTAGAAATCTCGCGTTTGATCTTAATGAATGAAAAAATGTAAATGTTTCGTTTTTAACTTGTTTATATGAACCCTAGCGACACGAATTCCGTAGCTACATCTGCTTTATTTTTTCTATAATCTTTCTTCATTAGGGTGGTAATGATGATTTCAAGTTTATGGAGTTGTTTGATTTGTAGAGTACGTGTTCTTAGTTTTAGTTTTGCAATTTGGTCTTACAATTCTCTACTCTATAGTTCAACACTTCAACTCTTATACTACGTACAATTTTACCAATTTTAATTTTCACACTATTCCAAACCTTTATCACTCAATTCCAGTGATTCCACGACTTTTCTAAACTCAACCAAACAGTCCACATTTTTATGGGTTCTGACCTTATGAGTAGTAATTTCTTTTATAAGATTAGTATTTCTTTCTCTACAGAAAGCCAGCCCTAAATTCCATAGACTAACGACAAAGTTGTTTTGGTTATTTGGGCATTTTAATTTTCAATCGGACACATTTTCTACTTTTGGAATTTCACAAATAAATTATTTTATATTTTAAAAAAATAGATGTTCTATAGCTTATTGTGATACTTTTGGAGTATCATTCACACCACAATCTAGTTAATATGATTATATGTTTTAAACAAGTGATGTTAAAAACTAACTTGATTTGAAACAACTAAGAGTGAGTTAGTCTATTATTTGATCAACTCATTGTAATTTGTAAAAAGTCAACAATTTCGGGCAATAGTGTGTGTAACCGTGTAACACCAATATAGTGCAAACAACTCATGCATGAAACAACATTAAAAAATGTAGTACCAATCTATTTTGTACGAGTATCATTTTAATTTATTTTTTTTGGCACTTTTAATTTACTTACGGAGTGTAATTCGTGCGTGACCCAAATCATGTCTTCCAAGTTTTAATAGAGGAGCCTAGCGCTAACATGGGTCGGAAGAACCTATGAGAGGTTCCAACTCGGTACAGTCATTTTCTGTATATAAAAAAAAAGGTTCAATAGAGAAACAAATGAATAAAAAAACACTTAAACACCCTAAACAAGTTAAATATAAAAGCTTAAATAAAAAAAGGAAAATGAAATCTAATAATCCCACCTTTGCTCCTATCTTCCAGTAACAATCTCACCTTTTGAAATTTTAGAAACAATTCAATTAACAATAATGATATTATTATTATTATTTAATAATAATAATAATAATAATAATACAATATAATAGTAATAATAATATAATAGTAATAATAATATAATATAATATAATACAATATAATATAATATAATAATAATAATAATATAATATCATATAATAATAATAATAATAATAATATAATATCATATAATAATAATAATAATAATAATAATAATATAATATATATAATAATAATAATAATATAATAATAATAATAATAACAATAATAATAATTAAACATTAATATTAATTAACATTAAAAGTAGAATATTGAAATAATTAAAATAAGGTCAAATCAGAAAAAATAAGTTCAGATCAGATCAGATCAGAAAAAATAAGTTCAGATCAAATCAGATCAAAAAAAATAAGTTCAGATTAGATCAGATCAGAAAAAATAAGTTCAGATCAGATCAGATCAGCTAAAATCAGGTGAACTAAACAGCCTCTAACAACAGGACGAGGCTTTTTTTTTTTTTTTTTTTTTTTTTTTTTTTTTAATGAAGTTGGAATATACAGTAGGATAAAAATTGAAAAATGATTCTCTAGTATTATCAAGACAAGGGTCATCGCGACTTGATAAGGTCGTCGTGACGTGACAAGGTATGTCGCGATGTGATAAAAATATTTTATCTCGGTTAGAATTTTTTATCTTTCTCCGATCGTTCGACTTTCTTTTTTTCCTTATAAATAGAGGTCGTTTTTCTTCGATTCGGATCAACACAAATTTCAAAATTTATAATGTTCTTAGCCTTAGTCTAAACACATCTTTGATACATTCCTCGAATACTCCAAACCATACTCGACATTGTTTTAGATCTCGACGTGAAAGGTTGATATTTCTGAGAGTTTGGTCTCAAATCTATATTTATATTCCTATTTAATTTAGTTTATTATTTACTTTATTGATTTCGCTTTCTTGAATTTTAGTAACATGGGTATTGTTTTAATGGCAAGAAAGTTGAGGCATCAAATTAAGTAATTTAATAACTTTCTTTTTAGAATACAAATCATGTTTAGGATAACGCTTTGATTTTGATTATTAGAAATCATGTATAGGATAATGTTTTGATTTTGTTATTAGTAACATGCTAGGATTCTTATTAATCTGTTTAGTATCATGCCAAAAATCTTACTTTTAACGACATTTTTATGACGATGCTTGTGATGTTTTCATGATGATTGTGAAATTAATTATATGTTGCTTAATTATCAATGATTTATTGTTATTGCTTGACCACACCTTTTTTTGTAGGTTTAAAGAGAATTTGTGATTGAAATCACGCCTAATGAGATAATTAATGATTGGATTTAGGTTTAATATGATTTAAATCCAAGTGATCACCAATATTAGATTTAATTGTGCACTAATAATCAACTAACGTAGATTAAACAAGTTTAGGATTAATTTGATGTATGTATGTATGTATGTTGATCAAAAAGCGCGCATGAATATCAATAAGAGTCAAGTAGAGGCATATTTAGAGTGGGTTTGACCTCTTTAAGGTCAATTTCGTAACATCATACCCGAACATTTAGTCATGGTTCCGGACCACTATGGAGTTAGCAATCTTTGTGATTGTGAATGGGTTGTAACCTTCACAATTGTGAACAGTTTACAAGTTCCTAAAACTTGTTGGCAGCTCTTTTTCTCTAACTTATTTTCCTTGGAGCGTCGACATGCCTTAACATGACCCACACGTAGGGTGGAGATGAAAAATTCCCTACACTGGTATAAATACAAAGCAAATATAGTCTAATAGATTTTGAGGATTGAAACTAATAATATTGAAGAGATTTATTTGTTTAGAGAAAAAAAATAAAACTCGTCAAATGTTGGGATAAACATGCATATCTTAGTAGTTAGCAATGCCTCATGAGATTTTTTTGTGTTTTTTTTTTGGCTATATGGTAACTTTCCATTTTTTTGGTGCGTTAAAGTTAACCGCTTGTTTAACGTGGAAGAGTAGTTATGATAGAGCATTTTTTTTTATTAAAATAAAATTTATTTTTTAATTTTTAATTGTGAATAGGAGAGGTAATTTTTAAAATTAAGAAGGATAATTTGGGAATAGTGAAACTTATCACCCAAAAGGCTCTTTCTCTTTGTATATTATTATAGATAATTGTTGTATTACCATATTTTCAAATTATTGCTAAAAAAAAATAAATCTATTTACACAAATTACATCTTGTTCTTTGGTCTTTTTGTTTAGTAAAGATTGTCAAATCACAAATCAATTATACTTAGTATTTAAAAACACAAACCACAAATCAATTATATGCCACATGTCACCACAAATCACTTATATGTCACATGTCATTTCTCTTAACAGTGTGTTTGGATTGAAGGAAATGGAGGAAAAGAAAGGGAAGGGAAATGGAGAGATGGGGTATCTTTCATTTGGATAACAAATGAGGAAGGAAGAAAATTGTAGAAAATTGATCCCTCCAACAATAGACAGATTTGGAAGGAAAACTCACCATTTTTCCCTCCCCTCCTTTTCTCCATGCTCCCTTTCTTCATCCAAACATACTTTTAATCTTTCCTTTTTATAAACCTTTTTTAATATTGAATTTAAAATAAAAGAATTATATAATGTTAAAGTCTTTTTGCATTCCATAAGTTGCAAATTTAAGTAAAAAAATGAAATGTTTATTTCCACCATAATAAAATAAAGTTGAACTAATTAGTACACATTACTCCCTCCGTTTCGTATTAATCACAACACTAGGTTGCTCACAAAGTTTAAGAAAATTTATAGGGTAGGGTCTAAAAGAGGATTTTTTTTTTAATATAAAGTATTTGTTAGTAGAAGAGAAAAATAATTAAAAAAAAAGCAGTATAAGTGGGGTTGGTATGAAAGAAAACAATAAAATATTTGTGAAAGGGGGGTTAGTGGGATAGAGAATTATAAAATAATGGTAGGTACTTTTCAAATATAGAAGTGTTGCAATTAATATGAAACGGATGTAAAAGGAAAGAGTTGCGATTAATACGAAATGGAGGGAGTAATTAATATATGAAGTACAATAAAAATAGTCTTTTCATCTCCTAAACAACTTAAAATATAATTTAAACCAATATGTCATTTTATATTCATAATATTCATGTATATATATACCTAACTAAATTCCTTCATCTTCTTCCACAGTTCCACTCTCACACTCTCTTTCTTTTAAGTTTTAACAGTGAATTTCATTAACTTCAATGATCATGAAACAATTACTTCGTATTTTATATCAAAAACTTCAACTATTGAAAAACATATATATATAAATAAGCTAAGTAACAACCTGTGTATCGGCCAAAACGCTAGTTACCTATAAAAAAAAATGTTTGTAACACAAGAAAAATGCAACTTGTCCCCTTGATCAGGCAATTTACATTGATTGGGCACATAACAGACCTTTATAGTTGTTGCCTAGGGCATGCAAAAGGTTTAGCCAAACCGTGAAATTCTTCAGCTATGATAATTCCTTGATTCTTTGTAGTAACACTATTAATTGTCATTTAGGCCTTGTTTGGCAAAACTAGCGGTAGCGGGTAGTTTTTAGCAATCGAATAGCGGGTAGCTATTAGGGTAGCAAGTAGCTGTCAATAAGTAGTGGGTAGAGGTTAGCTGTCAAAGTAACGGTTGTTAGTATGAGTGTTTGGCAAAAGTAGTGGTTGCAATACTAAAATATATTAATAATCATATAATTTTTTTTTTAAAAAGTAAGCAAAAATTAACAAACGCTAACCCACTACTCTTAAACACTACTATTTTTGACGTTTGAGAAAAACTACCTAAACGCTACCTCTACCACTAACCACTAATCACACCGCTACCTTACCAAACACTGTTATTTTTTTCTAGTAGTGTTTTGACTGATCAAAACGCTAATCGCTACCTCGAACGCTACCACCAAACAGGGCCTTAATGATTATGGAGTATTAATAAAACCTTTTAATTCTAAATGTTATCTCAAGAATTTGAGAAGTTACAATCTTTTCATCATCACAAGTTTCCATTTATTACCTTTTTTTTTTTTTTTTTGAAACCAAGCTTCGAATTTTATTAGAGAGTTATCAAACTTTGGGAAAAAAGACTAAGAGAAACAAACTCATTACAATCTTTAGCATCCCATCTTGCTATATTATGAGTTAGAGTATTACCCGCGCTTGACATGAAAAATAGAAAAAGAACTAAAACAGAAAGCCAAACTACAAATATCATCATAAATAAAGCATATAAATAGGAGAGAAACCCTTGGCCTTCGACTTTATAATAGCATCCACTACATTCATAGCATCACTCTCAAGTAAAATGTGATTAAACCCCAGCCTTCTTGCAATGTTCAGCCCGAAATGACACGCTGAACACCTTCTTAATTTCATTTAATTGTTTACGATTTTTAGTAATACACGATACACTCTTTTTTTTATTCACACTAGGATTGTTAACACGCGCAATGAGCGCGTCATATTTAGCAATATTCGGGAAGCACTTTCGGTTTGACCTTACATCACAAAGTTAGTTGTTCGTAGATTAACAACGGAAAATATGTAAACAAATATTATTAGGGGTATAAATGACCGCACACTATTCTTAAGAGTTTTTTTAAAAAAAAGCTAATTATCATTAATGGAGGCAATTAAGTAAAAAAATATTTTAGAAGGTATAATCGTTCAATCACTATTAAGAGTTATCTCATACTTTTTAGGGATCGTTTGATTGGATCATTTGCAATGGGTTGGAATGGAATGAGTTGGAATGGAGTTAGAATTCATTTCATCTAATTTTTTGTTTGGTTGAGTTTTTTAATAATGAAATCTTATACTCAAAGGGTTCTAACTCCACCTTATACTCATGTAATCCCATACCCACCTCCCCCCTTAAGATTCACAATCCATTTTATTAATGAAGTATAGTATCTATTCCAACAATCAAACCAAACAACTTTGGATTAGTATGAGTTTTAGAATCCATATCTCTTTAGTATGAGATTCCATACCAATCCATTCTAATTTAATGAACCAAACACCCCCTTAAAATGTAGGGATACAATACTATCCATAGCTTTCTTATTTCTATTAGACATAACTACATAAGTTCATGTGACTCCAAATCTCCAACCTCTCATCCAAAAATATCTTTGTGTGAGAGTGAAATATTCATCTTTGGGAACAAATCGACAAAAATAATTAAGCACCTTGATTACGTCAAAATATTGTTTTCAAGATTGTGATTCAAAATTTCCATCAAAATTGCCACGCCTAGGAGTGAGCACAACCGGGTACTCGGTCATATTCTCAATACCCGGATCCGGAATCGGTTATGACCGAGTCTCAAGAATTGGAACTGGTCCCAAAACCGGTTAGTACCAGATCCAAGTTTCTTGGAACTGGTCCCGGAACCGGGTACACGGTCTTATTCAAAATCGTAAAATAATGCTAGGATTAGAGCAAGTCAGCAAGCACTAGAACCAGCAAACAGCAGGCTTCCTTGCTTGGATTCCTGTACTAAATTGAAACAATAGCTTTTAGGCTACATACATTTACGGAAACAATAATCAATAAAATCAACATTACAATCTCTTAATTGAAATTTTAACAAAAAAAAATATAAACTATATACTTACAATCTATGAAAAATAGGTTTTGAGCAACCAAATTAATTGAACTCCAATCCACCCACAACTCACTGAACAACTCCTCCCACAAATCACTAGATTGCTCTTCATCCACAATTTCAAATGCAACTAATATTGAATCGAAACTAACAAATTCTACAACCAAGTAATTCTAGGAAAATCATTATTGAAACAAAAAGTGAAAAAAGTGAGAAAAATACTTACGAGTAACGGCGTCTAGTACCGGAGATTCGAAGACGGCCGAGAGAATTAGGGAGGATGAGATTTTGAGGAGAGAGGAGAACGGAGAACGAAAGAGAGATGAGAAAAGGGTGGAGAACGGAGAAACCTAGAGAAGAGTAGAAGACCCTAGAATGCATTGGAACATTGGATGAAATGAAAGATGGAGGCTGGTACTCTGGTAGAAGCGTAGAACCGTAGAAAACCCTAAGTAAATGGGCCTAAATGCCTAATGACTGTTGGGTTTTTTAAAAAAAAAAATTAAATTTTTATAACTAAACTAGTACCGGTTCTGGGTACCCGGTGTGTCTGGATCCGGGACCGGGTACCCGGTTTTGGAACCGGTTCCTACCGGGTGTCTAGTGGGTACCGGATCCGAAATTTTAGGACCCGGTCCCAGAACTGGTTACAACCGGATCCGAACTTTTGGACCCGGTCCCGGAACCGGTGAGACTAGTTTCAGATCCGGACCCGGCGGGTCCTAACCGGTTTCGGGTCTGGTACTGGGTATCCTGGGTCTTTGCTCACCCCTAGCCACAACAAACAAATTCTAAAGTCATTTTTGTCAGGGATGACCTTTGCCCAAAATTTAACTTTGTGATTGACTATTTTGATTTACAAAGAGAGTTACTAGAGTGAAGAGAGCAATTCTTATGGAAAATAAAGGGGAGAAGGAGGTAGAGAAGGGAAAGTCAAAGACGATTGGGAACATAGCGATGAGCTTGGACAACTAGATAGGGAGTAGTCAGAGGACTATTGCTTGAGGAGTAAAAAGAGTGATCTAACTCCAAACAATCCTACCAAATCCAAACTGACACGATCTAAAATTGGATAGGCATGGTCTCATGGACACGATAATCTAAACCCAATCAGTGACCTGAATTGACATCGATTATTAGGTCCTCGTAAGAGAAGTGGCAATCATAAGTCCTGCAGTATTTCATTCGCACTCCAAAGTCCTGCTAATGCACATGTTTCAATGAACATTTTTTATGCCTCGAGGTTTGGGGTTCCTCCAAGTAAAAAGAAAAGGAAGGAGAACAATATGTGTTTGTACATCCAGACATCCAGTAGCTTGTTGCATACCACAATCCTAGCAAAGGCCAAAGACCAAAGACGATAATCACCTAAGATCTTTCTGTTTAATAAAAGCTGTAGCCCTTGATGCATATAAAGGTAGAACTGCCTTGATACAAGGATGCGTAAAACACATGCTGTGATGCCGATCCTTCGAACCAAGGAAGTTCAACATCCAAAGATCTGCCAAACATAAAACTAGGAGAATTTTTAGCCACATAAACTGATAAACACCATGGTCAGCTCACTTTCCTCAACATTTCAATTTAAAAGTTGTATTTGGTTGAACAAAATTAAGGAGCTGAAATACATTATTGCAGAAATCTAATCCCATAAGTAATGTGATGAAATCAGGGCCTATAATTTATTATCGTAAAACTTTGATTCTTTCCCAATTGTATGGGACCTAAGTAAAGCTGCAATAAGGAAAACAGGGTTAAATTGAGATATCAATAACCCCTGCAATTGCTTCAGTTGTCTCCGTAGATCCATTTCTCAGCATTGTGTGTGTAACTGACCAATTCCTCAGGCTTGAACCAAAGGTTGATTTCATCCTTAGCTGTTTCTGGGCCATCACTTCCATGGATAATATTTCTACATTCAAAAAATTAAGTTAGATTAACAGTGCCCGAAAGTTGGTCATTAAGAGTAAGCAGCAGATTATCATCCGTAATATTAGTGAGAAGTAGTAATACCTTCCAACGACGACTGCAAGATCACCTCTGATGGTTCCTGGTTCGGATTTCTGTGGGTCCGTGGCTCCAATGAGTTTCCTTCCGTATTTAATCACTCCCTCACCTTCCCAAACCTATGAAAATAAGGAAGTTAGTCACAAACAATTTGGAAGTCACGTCTCTCATGAAAAAAAGATTAACTAATTTCTCACCATAGCAACCACGGGGCCAGAGCTCAGAAAATCACAGAGTCCGTTGAAGAAAGGCCTCTCTGACAAATCATGATAATGCTTCTGGGCAAATTCCTTTGAGGGAACCACTACTTTGATAGCAACAAGCTTGAAACCCTTTCGCTCAAAACGTGCTACGATTTCTGAGATCTAAACATTGGAACAGTCATCTGTGTTAGTAAAAAAGAACGAAAAGGCTGTCCCCACTGTGAATTTCAATGGTAGAAACTCGATGAAAAAAAAAGGCACTGGAAAAATACTTACCAGTCCTCTCTGAACTCCATCAGGTTTGATAGCAATGAAAGTACGCTCCATCTACACACATTTCAGTATGAAATCTCTTAAAATCCTTTTCATGATTTAGAAGAGTACTTGGCAGGATAAATACAAGAATTAAGAGATCATCTTATTGAAAATAAATAAATACAACAAAATTTGAGCAGGTACCTCTGCAGCATAAGCTTCCTGGTCCTGAAGCAAGTAAGCTACATTGCAAAACAGACAAGAGGAAAGCAGCACATTAGAGAGGAAAAATAAGAGGAAACACCAATAGCATTGGTACATATCAGCAGAAATTCAGGAGATAACCTATTACATAATGCACGGAAAGAAATTACTTCTTGACCCCACTGATAACAGCTTAAAATTAGTTTTTGTAGACAAGATTTAAGCTTGCTGCCGCTTAAACTCTAGCTAGTGGTAAGTCTGCTCTTCTACAATTACACACGGAAGAGGTTCCGGGTGTCACGAAGCTAAAACAAAGCACGGGACAAAGCTTCTCTACCTCTCACTCAAAATATATAAAAAATGTCCATGACATGTAGTTCTTTCTTAGTTTTAACTTCCAATTTACAAAGGCCCATAACATGCATTGACTGATAGACAGCTGTAATAAAGCGCATAAAGAATAAAATTCCTCATTTAATCTTCAGCCATACAAACTTTCTACAAGACAATAATTGGGAGAAAAAAAACATACCAAGCCTAGGGTTCCTCAAATTATTGTGTCATTGCAGATTGAACAAGAAACCATATCTAAATTTCTTTACCATATATAAGCACAAATATAGTACTACTTTCTGTCTTTCTACATCTCAATTTTAATGTCAAAAGCATTCTTTTTTGGGTCCCAATAAAGTTGTCAAATTAGTACCATTTAGTGGTTTTTACTAGTAGAAAAACTAATTTCCCTTCAAAATTATCTATTGATTAAACTTTTAGTCCCAAAATTTGAGAGATACGGATGGTTCAATGATTCAGCAATCACACAAAAAGATAAACAACAAGAAAGAAAAGACGTGAAAAGGAAATCATTGAAAGTGTAAACAATTGGCACCTGCTGCAGGGATGGCCAATGCGGTGGACAACCATGTTCCGGATGCATTGGCTCCTCCGAGAGAAGCCAAGTGAGATGCTTTTCCTCTCAAGGATACAGCAGCGGTAGCAGCCACAGTCCGTCCTTCTGCAATTCAAACACAACAACGACTTCAAAAACAATACTTAATCCACCGTATAATAACAAACAAATGTACTTAAGAAATAACTTATATAATCAAGAAATAGCTTATATGGTATCGTGCTACATGTACATAACTTATATAAAAACCATACCCTTCAATCTGTAATGAAGACACAAAGCAAATAAAAGATGAATCCTGAAATTCCATCTCATTTATCATCAATCTACCTGTTTTCTAATGACAAAGTTATACGGAGTACAATCTTCTATCCTTCTATTTAATAATTATGTTGTTCTTTGTTGTAACCTAAAAACCAAAATATCCCTAATTTAGGGATTTATAACTATAAGCCATTTAACATCTCAAAGTCCATTTCAAGTTTCAACAACATAAAAACACAATCAATTGACGACTATCATTCAAAAGCAACAATCTAAAACTTAACCTCAATTCCAATTCAAACATGCTTACTATACTATAGATCATATCTAACACCTCTTCCGTTTATTCTTAGATACAACATTTTGCATATCACACTAAAGATCATACCTAAAACTTTACCGATTTCTTAAAAAAAAAAATCTTGTTAGACTCGTCTCAATTTACATTTTCAAAATCAAATTTTACTACTAACAATCAAAACACGTAGTGTAGTATTAGTATATAACCGATTGAAATTATGCATTGACAAACACAAAAATAATAGGGGTACTCAATAATAATGTTCAAGTAAGATTGTAATGAAACAACAATCAAATGAATCTGAAAATAAAATGACATTTGAACAACGATCTAGGAGAGGGAGAAACCAGGGACGAAACGAGAGGCGGAGTTCTTGGAAGAAGAGAGAAAAGAGCGAGCAGCCCTAGAAGCAGATCTGTAAATGTGGGACCTCATTTTTCAATGGAGAGAGAAACTAACAACTCTAACAAAGGAAAGGGAAGAAGAACGACGATAGTGGAAGTGAGGTTACTAGAGTGACAGATCGATACAACAGTAGTTTATTGTTTAAGGGTTTTGTTTGGGTTTCTTTTTATAGTAGCTGTTACTGTAGAAATTTGATGCTTTCCTATTTACTTTTTACTGTTGGAGATTTGGAAATGCTTTTGCTTTGCTTTTCTTTACTTGCCTTGTTTAGGTTTTTGATTAGGAATCATACATTTGCTTTATATTTGTGAGACATGTCTAATCTATGTATATTAATTATCATGAAGTTAGGTCAATTAGGGTTGTTGTATGTGTGGAGTACTCGAAATGGTGTCGTTATTGGATCAAGTACCTATTATTTGTAGCTGGTGTCACGGATTAATATGCGAACTGTGTTTTGTACTCATATTAGATTTGATAAGGTTTGGGCATTCAAGCCTTTTGTTATTTAGAGTTGTGATCTATATTTGTTTTTGTACTCGGATTAAGAACTAGATCCATATTAACCGAATCCATGGATCTGGTCCATCTGGATATGGATATGGATATGGATCTAATTGCTTATTAGAAGTAATCTTTTTACAACTTCAAAAAATGTGATTGAGCTTCTTATTGCAAGAAATGCAAAAGAAAAGTAGACTTGAGGTTATAGTCTTTACACATATCTTTCCTGAATTGATAAATGCCGTCATAATTTGTTCAGTTTTGCCATTATAAATGACATTAGTACGACCCTCTCTATTTTCTTCTCCTCTCTATTTCTTCTTTCTTATACCGACCAACCAAGTAAACTAGCTCCTCCTAGGTCCCCCAACCCACCCTTCTCTTGCCCACCATTAACCACCACCACCCCCCAACAAGCAACAAGCAACAACCACCCCACCTCATTTCTTCTACCCCATTCTCCACTCCTCCGTTTCTCCTCTCTTTCTCATAGCCACAACCTTCACCACACCCAAATCAAAAGCAATAAAATACCAACCATTGTAGGTTTGGAAATAAAATAAAATTACATCATCAAATAGAAAGTACATTTTGCTAATCACAACACCTTTGTTGAAGACGTGATACTAATACCATCATATTATCATATACGAAGTACGTATGATTTGTTTGAGTAAACTTTTTGCATGTAAAATAATCACAAATAAGTACTAGAACTTCATAGAACAATTGAGTTCATAATCACAAATCATCCGAACTTCAATATTCGTAACAAGTCATTAAAATATCATCTTTACAAATCTGAATAAAATAATTAAAAAAAAGTAAATTTGTTAGAAAGAGTTACAAATACTTTTTCACGGATCACATATATGAAGTCGACATATCAAATTATCAAATAGCAATAAACGCCTGACCAGCAAAGCCAACAAAGCTTCAAAAGTCACGTGGCCTTTTAGTAGTGTTGAGTTTACTCTACGCTATACTCCAATGCTTACAAGTTTGTATTGATACAAGTTGAGTGTCAAAGTGATCATCCTATTTACAAGCAAGACACTTCCCAAACAACTACGGACTTTGAAAAACTACTTCACATTACGTATCCTCGTTTGGAAAAATGTTCGTAAGAATGAAACTCTCAAGGAATTGACGATAGGGCCTGATCTATATAGATACAAATTAGACATTTGAATCAGAACGAACTGGAGCTAACTGTCAATAAAAATATCCAGTTAATTTGACAGTAACTAGCGAGGGTAAAGACATTAAGACAGTAACAGACTATCAGTCATGACAGGGAATCAGGATGGCCGCCAAGGCCAAATCCTCTGTTTAGAGGTTTCAGGAGGGGAAATTCGACGGGAGCTCATTGAAGTGGTGAACAATGGTGGTGCCTGAAATACAAGGTAAAATTGGCAAAGAAAAAAGTTCGATCTGCAGCACTTAGTCAATTACCTTTATTTTATTTACCTTGAATGTGGTTATATTTACAAGCACAATAATTAATTTCTGCACATCAAACTCATATTCTCAATAACCTTATTTTTCTAGCTATATACATTGTTGAACGTTGCTTTCACAATTTTTATCACCAGGGTCAGTTTTATCAGGTCCAAGCTTGCACTCTGTTCGTAATGCTCTTAACCAAGAATCAACCTGTGCAATAAAGTTACAATGCAAGTATCAAGAAAATGATCAAGAACACTACACAAACAGTTACACTTAAACTACATGCAACCATAGTCAAGGACATAGAATTCTAACAAAAACGGTCATTATATCCTCTTTTCCCCGCTGAACATGAAAGCATACAACAGTGACTAACGGGGATGATCATCTGTTTCACTTGGACTCTCTATATTTCACCTCGAAGTCGGTGTAGGATCCTCGACATTGAAATAAGGGTATGGACAATTGACACCTCATTTGGACCAAAAATATGATACATTTTCTTTACAAAGCTAAAACATGAACAGTTATCCATGTCTGACACGAGTTTTTGTGTTCAAGTAACAGTCTATGACCCCTCAACTATACTCCATCAGTTTTTTTCAGTTTACTCAATTTGTCCGTTTACAGTGATTCATACACAAGGAAATCAGTAATATGAGATTGTTAGGTTAGTCTCGATATATACTTTCAAAATATCAATTTTTGTAATAATTTTACTTACAGTGAATAAAAAATGCTTTGTACAGAATATGATCAAAGTTGAGTGTGTAAACTTTATAAAGCAGAGTACGTCACACTACAAAACAAAATAGCATGAAATTTATTCATTAATGTGCGCTCATTTAAGATTTATTAGTTTCACATAGGCAATTAACAAGTGACAAAATGAAGTAAATCTGCCCCATATAAGAAAAGACATCTCTAACAGCAAGTCAAATACGAAGTACAAAAAAAATGAACGGCAGCTACAGGAATTACCTGTATCTCAGAATCGCTGGAACATTCAATTCTAAGTCCATAACGTGTAACAATGTAAAAGCAGTGCCAAATTTCTTCACCTTCTCGAACTATGCGTGGCAATGAGCCTACTTCATCAATATCGGAGAGAAGAGCTGAATCCTGAGGACTCAAATCTGCAGCAGCTTTATTAGATTATTAGGTAATAAATTCAAATGCTATCAAAATCTTTACACATTGACACCTCTTTCAAACAAGCATACGAATAAGGCAATAAACCACTTTGACAAATGTGCCCACATGGCAACAACCCACCTGAAAAAAGGGGAAAAGAAAAGGTATACAGCAATTTAGAAGGCCATAACTTTACAAGGGAGTAAAAATCACCTTCCTCATTCCTCAAGAAAAAGTCCATTACAAAATAAACATACACGACTTTTTAACACAACACATCTAGGGAGCATGACAGCATGTTGATACCATCACAAATGATTGAAATGATAATACAGTTCCACTCGTTAAACATGTCACCTGAAATAAACATTCGAAGAAGATGGACCAAGAAATCAAGTACCTGTAGAAGACAAGTAAAAGAAGATGCATGATCCTTGCAGGACTGTAAAGCGAGGAACCCAGTCATCGACATCACAGTCATCAATAGGAGGTAGCTCGCCAGGTAGTGCCGCCCATCGCTAAAGGTTTCAAAAATAAATGCATCAAAATCAAGTAATATGTAGTATTAAAGTTGGTCCAAATACTGAAAGATTACAAATAGAACCATACTGTTCTCATATTTAAGTATCCTGATAGTCGAGCCCGACGCAAGATTTCATCAAGATGTTCCAACCTACATTAGCGGGAACATGTTAATGAAAGAGTACAAGTAGCTGGTTAGTTCAATGCATGTATACAAGTGGAAGAGAGAAGCATTTCTTACTGTGCTTTGAAATGAGCCTCTCTTTCTTCTACATCAGCAAGTTCTGACCGAAGGGATTCTAGTTCTACAGCACTCAGCTCAACCTGTGAGTTAAAGATAGAAAAGAGTCGCATTTAAATTCTTATCACAAATATAAAAAAGGGATTGTGTAAGCAAAGTTAACTGCAAATACCTTTTCTTCACCATTAAGACCAGTGATATTTCGTAGTCCCTTCAAACTAAATAGCCTCAACATGAATGAAGCAGTTTTCAACTTGTTCCTAGAAAATGAACGATTCTGAACTATGCTGAAGTCAAAGGAAGGAAAAATAATGGTGAGAATCAACTAATAAAATACTTCACTATTAGACTTTTCTTTTCAACTAATAGAGGTACCTGGAGGCACCGTTGGCACTTGTATTTGAGAAAAATGAATTTCTATCTAAATGAGATGTTGTGCCAGATGTTGATGTATGAGGAGAATCTTCACCAGATATTGAGGTATCTGAACTTCTGGGTAGGGGAGAATCTGCAGAAGCGGAAGCTGAAGCCTCAAAATAATCTGGTATGATCTCTATAGTTCTAGGACCATCACCCATCAATGAAATTCCTTTTTTTCAAATTGGCTGCAAAATTTAAACAACACAGTGAACACACTGAGGAAGGCTGTAGTCATTAGTATAATTCTTCAAGCAAATGAGAACAAAACATTGGCTGTATTCAGTAATCAGCACATAGTTTAAGGATATAGCCAACAGCATATTGAACAGGAGCAATTGCAAATTTTGCAAGTGTAAGGATTAAGTAGAAGTTCAAGATTAGTAATTTGATTTTCACATGTACAGACATGGAACCATATTACTCTAAAAGGTTGACATAAGGTAAATAATCGTTATTTAAAAGTGTGATTGGGCAAATTTAACGCAAATTTACTGTTCAATATACTCCACTTATTAGCTTCTTTGAAAGTGTAGATTCATTCCAATCAATTTTCTAATGTATTATTCAGTTATTCACCTTTCACCAAACCAAACACCAGTACACCACCATTAATAAATAACATTATAACAATGAATTATTTGACATTAAATTAACTCTTTTTCACTCGATCTAAATGACCCTGGACAATAAAGTTCATATTATGATATCAAATAAATGCAAGTATATTATTCCAACTATTCGCATTGCAATTATTCTACTCTCTACTTTGGTATTTTTAATATTAGCTATCCAAATTGCTTAATATGAATTAAATCTCTATACATTTAATACACTTATCCAAAATCTATTCTTCTTCCGCTTTTCTTAGAATGTATTGGGTGAGGAAAATAGGGAAGAGAAGGAAGGAGAGAGGAAAACTTTCAACTTTGAAAGTTCATTAAGAAGTTAAGAAAGACGAAAGCCTATAATTTCTCTCTGTTTCCCTAATCTGACATGCAAACAAGGGAGCTAGATCCCATAGTATCCCTTCCCACATCGATACAAAGTACGAAATATTAATCTTTGTGAAAACCTATAACTGTGACTGAAGACCTAACAGCAAACTGATGCCAAGCAAAGTTCACATACTTAAATAATTAAGCGGCCTACAAAGTACTAAACGAGCTACAATAATAACATCCTCCCCGCCCCTGCAAAAAAAAAAAAAACCAAAAAAAGATCTAAGACATAGAGTGTTTTTGCAACTTCACGGAAGTAAAAAAAAAACATTACAAAATAATGATGTAAAAGTGTAAAACACTTAAAAGACATGTGAGAGAACTATAACAAGTTAAGGAAATTTTCATGGCAACAAGTAAAAACTTAAAACCCTCAAAATGGATATCTACTGGCAATCCTATGAGAAGTTCCCAAGGATTGAAGTAATACAACAGGCAACTTAAACTATATGAAGAAATAATTATGTATGAAGTTTAAAATATAATAAGAGGAATAAATTAACACCAAATTGAAAGCCCATATTTTGCCTAAGAGCTAATGCAGTCTTCAAATGACACTCTAGAGAACAATATAGTCAACTATCTAGCATTCTAGCCTAATCAGAATCACAGATGGATTTTCCCAGAGGAAATAAGACTCCATTCATCAGAAAATAAAGCTTTGGCCTTTCAAAATCCTTAAATACTTTCTAACTTTCTTATAGGCCATGCTAAGTAACTAGGCATTCTAGCAGTCCTAGTCTTACCTGTATTGACATGACATGAGTGCAGGTAACATAATCTACATCTAACTCTCTATATCTAAGTCGAGCATGACAACTATAGCCAACCACAAATTTTTAGAAAACAATGAGGATTTAAACTTAGTAGTATAATACTTGTACGACCTAACATTTTGTAGCACTTTTAACCCACAATCACCACATCATAAATCTAGGTTCTCGCACGACCTAATACTTAATTACACTTAAATCAAGGTTCATGTAACTTAGAGGACGTTAAGATTCAAATTAAGCTGCATATTTGGCAACAACACTAGCCATATAAATACTAATTCCGGTCATTGGTATGGACATCAATTCTATCAATTGATGAACTTTGCAATGATTCATGTGGAGTTTGAAATACTAGATCATTGCAAACTTATCAGCCACAGCTGGAATTCCAACAACAGTTCCATTACTAAAAACAATAAGCAGCCACATTGGATGGTAAGACATCTCTTGGCAATAAATAAATCCTGCTCAATCCCAAGTAGCCTCAATCATCTATCCTCACTTCGAAACCCCGGCAAGAGTTCAATTGCCTAAATTTAACAGCTTTTTAAAAGCAGCCCTCAAGAACATTCCTTCTAGTATTTTCAACTTAATTGCTAAAAATCCCCACCCACTTTACCAAAAGATTACAAAATATTCAAATTTGAACTACTCAAATTAGAACATCTCGTCAGGCGTTTATTAATTAGCACTTTATCCTAAAATGAAAAAAAAACCCCAATCAAAAATCAAATTTTCACATCCATCACCCTCCAAACCAACCCTAAACCCTCAATAAAATTTTAAAAATAAAAAATAAAATAAATTCCATACTTTGAATTATCAATTATAATACTGAAATTGAACTCAACTTCATCATAACCCCAAATTAATTTCGAATCAATAAGCCCAAAAAAAGATAAAATTTGTATACATAATTGATCATAATCTTGACATCGTCAGACATATTCGAATATATATTAGTAGCAAATACAGAGATCAAATCACAAGCTAAATCAATAACAAAGTACAAATTTTGCAAGATTCCCAGATAAATTCAAGTACTTAATCAAGCAAAAGCAAATTCATTCAGCATAAAAATACAAGAAAAAAAGTAAGCACCTTTTAAATGGAGGTTGAAGCGAAGTGGGTTGGCGATTGAAGGGAGAAATTGAAGAAAGGGAAAGGGGGGTTTGAGTTCGTGGTTTTTTGTTGTGTTTAGTGCTGATTTAAGAATTAAAAATATGAGATTGACCAATGGTAGAAGAATACGTCTTTATTTTTATCAATCATTATCATTTAATTGTGATGATTATACCTAATGAACTGTTCGTTAATGTTGTTGTACTCGGAAAACAATTGCCTGTGGAAATCACCGTTTTACCCTCCACTTGACTTGCGGGTGTTTTTCGTAATTCAATTGGACTCAATTGTACTCTCGTTTTAAGCTTGTAACTAGACTTGGTTATTGGACAAGATAGTGTAATAGACTAATAATAATAGGATTAGAGTCAAGTTTATAAAGCTCTTAATGGACAAAGTCTTTAATAAGTCCTTATTGAGTAAGGTCAATACAGAGGTAAAATGTTTATCCAATTTAATACATATAGAAAATAGAGAATATATAAAAAATTACATTTATATTACCCGTAGCAGTCCGACCCGCTATTGGCCCTATAAAATATGACCCTGCCTACAATCAATCTGCACCGACCCGCCCAATAATCAGGTCTACTTGAAACTAGACATGTGATTTGGGCTAGTCAAGGTTAGGTCGATAGTAATTCTGGACAAAAGAAGCAATGACACTTTTGTTGGGTCAATAATAAGCGGGTCAATAAACGAGCAACTATATTATCCCTCCGCTTCTAAATAATTGACTCGTTTTTTTCACTATTTATATACTAACTTTGACCATCGTTTCTTCGGTAACGTATAAAAAACAAATTTTATCGTGAAATATATTGTTAAATATGTATTAATATAAAATTTCATAATATCAATTTTTTAAATATTTTTTATTACTCCCTCCATATTTTATTACTTGCTCCATTTCTCCATGTGTGGAGTTTTAGGAGAGAAAATATAAAAAATTTAAAGTATGATAGTTGAGGGGTCCACTAGGAGAGAAGAAATTAGTAAAATATTGTAAAAGGGTTTCAAAAAGGGAAATGGAGCAAGTAATAAAATATGGCAGCACAAGAAAAGTGAAGCAAGTAATAGAATACAGAGAGAGGGAGTAATAGCGCATCTTGTATGCGGTTGGCCACACCGTATGGCCGCTTGTAAAAGAACAAAATAACCCCTAAAACATTAACCAAGTAACCCTTGTAACACTGATTGAGTAACCCTTATAATACTACAAAGTAACCCCTAAACATTGACCGGGTAAGCCCTAAACATCTTCCTCTATCATCACTTGTTTGGGCTTGTCCACTAGATAATGGCTTCGAGCTAGGGATGATTATTACTTGTAAAATAAACCTACCAGTTTAAAGTTGATTTGATTTGATGTAGCGATATCAAAGGGCTTGTGTCCACAAATAGCTGATTTGTGATTTCACATGTCAACAAACATTAATTAAAATTTGACCTTAATTATATCCAAAAATAGCTATTAATTCAAATTAGTGGTATACTGGTATGTTATCGATCAACCACTAAATTTGGAGAAAGGAGTATTATGTCACCAAAGGTGAAAGTCTTACCATCTTAAATGTAACATTTCAAACAAAGTTAAAGAAAGCATTTAAACTTATCCTTAAAAAAGTTCTCCGTATAAAAGTAATTACTTCGTAGTCACTAAAAATTACGGAGTTAAAAGTCATAATAGTAAGTTTATAACTATGACTATGAGATGGTTTCGTACACGATTTAACCTTAATAAGGAGATAGAGGAATCGATTAGATGAAGGCCATTGTCTTTTGTCTCGTGCTAACATTTCAAATGTATAAGTGGAAGTGAGTAAGATAGGACCGAATCAAACCCCACATAAATTTTGTGGTCAGAAATCAGAATAACACACAGCAACTCTTTCTGTCTCTCTCTTCCTGCAAAGTGAATTAGGCAACAATGGCATCTTCTTCCTTATCACCCCCTAGCTTCCAAGGTGTCTTCCTTAACAAATCACAATTTCTGGGCCAAAATCACATCAAATTATTAACTCAAAGATCAATCTCGACTTCTTGTCCTAAAACAACCTCAAGTAAACCAGCAATCACTGCTAAATTTGATCTCTATGGAATCTTGGGAGGCAGAGGTTTATGCAACGGCGAGGCAGGCCTCGAAAAAGAGCTGAAAAGAGACACTCAAAATCCGCCACAAAAAACCGAGAGTAATGAAGAGGAATCGGATAAAAAAGCATTTGCAGACTCAAGCATTGATGAGGTTATACCAGAAAATGCATTTGAGAAGGAGCTCTCAGGCCTAACTGGTGGATTTCCTGGAGGCGAAAAAGGTCTCCAGAAATTCATTGAGAAAAACCCACCTCCTCCTAAGATAGAAAACAAAGGAGGTGAAGACATGAAGATGGTTTTAACCTCCAAGAAGCCGAAACCACCTGAGCTGCCATTGTTGTTGCCCGGAATGATCGCCCTTGTTAAGAATCGAAACAATCCATACTATATGTACTGTGGTATTGTGCAGAGGATTACTGATGGCAAGGCTGGAGTGCTGTTTGAAGGAGGGAATTGGGATAGACTGATTACATTCAGGCTTGAGGAGCTCGAAAGGAGAGAGAAGGGCCCACCAATGACAAATCCCAAGTCTGTTGTGCTTGAGCCTATGATTGAAATGCTTGAAAAGCAGGCATCAGAAGCAGAAAGTAGTGAGATAACTCAGTAAGCTTCCAATGACCAATCTTTAGTCTTGTTTGTATTGTACAGATCAAAAGCTGCAACTTCTCTTCTATTCACCCATAAATAAAAACCCAAGTGAAGGATCTTTCAAAAAAAAAAAAAACCCAAGTGAAGGATTGTTCTACATTCCCAACTTCTCATATTTCCTGTAATTATATATATATTGCATCCACATTATCCTATTAATCTATCATAAGTTTCGAGTTAATGATAATCCCAAACATCAACTGGAAATGGAAGTAGCAGGCATAGCAGATTTAACTCCCAGGAAGCTCTAATGTTAGCAGATTAATGCACATACTAAGTATATAACGAAAGGAGCTTCAGTTCTGAAAAACCGAATTTAGATAATAATCAACAGTATATAGTGCCACAAAAAGGTGCAAATTATTTAACAGTCTCACAATTTGAAATAATTGCAATCATAGTATAAATTGCATTCAATATATGGTATATCAATAAGTGGTATGCTATACACCAATTAGTTTGACCAGTCCTACCTATGCTGCCTCTTCTTTAATCTTTACCGAGGTTGAAACAGCAGCAACAATATGTTTAAAGAAATCCAATACCAATTTTTTCACCAAAATGTTATTATGAGACATAGCCATTGACTACTTCAATGAGATTAAAGCAGCCACCCAACTGCAAAGAGAAATAAAAGGAGGGCAAAAGAGAACGCATAGTTAGGAAAACATGAAGTTGAGATTTCAAAGAGTTCTGAAGGGAAGGGGAGTTAAAAGATAAAAAGGTTTCATTTCAGAACAACATGCTGTACCAGTATAGCTTCCATCTCAGCACTTGATACTGGTGTTCGCTTGGGCTGGTCAGAAGCCTTCCCAGAGGCAGACAAGGAGTTGCTGGAAGCTGACCTTGATAGGAACGCCTTCAAAGCATCATCTGTTGATGGGGAAGAAGATTCTGGCAAAGAGGAAAGGTAAAAAAAAAAAAAAAGGGGGGGGGGGCAGATGAGATAAGTAAGGAGTTGAAAATTAACACAGCAATAATTACCCAAATGTTTAAAGTCAGCCATTAAGCTAGATATAAGTAGTCAAACCTCAAAATTTTCTAAAACAGAAGACCATTGCTTAGCACAGCTTTTTCAAACAATATCAATAGGAACAAGGTAGACAGCCTTAGGTTAGATTTTAGTACTAAAATTTAAGAATAAAGAGAGGCTAGAAGCCTAGAATGAATTTCTAGCAAGAAAGACAGCACTAATCAAAGAACCATTCTCAATATCATATTATTGAGATCAATAACAGCAAGTCAGAAACTTGTATTCAGAGAGTAAAGGCGATAATATAGATCAAAATCAATATACGAGGTTAAGACAGAAACTGGACCACAAAACTAACTTCAAAGGATAAACTACAGCTTACAGATTCCTTAAGATTTTATTTTAAGAAAAAAATTTCGGATGGGCAATGGCCCAGTGGTTAAGGTCTAAATGCTAGAGTCTGGACTGCCTAGTCCCAAGACAGAGTGTAGATATTTTCTGTCTAAAATTATTGCAATATGTAAACGAACTGCCTAACACTTCGTTTGGATAGAAGGAAATGGAAGGAAAAGAAGGGAAGAGAAAAGGAGGGGCACAAACTCTCTTGTTTGGATAAGTGATTGGGGGGAGGAAGGTGAAGGAGATGGAGGGATCCATTTTCCCTCTCTCTTTAATAAGCATAATCCCTCCAAATTTGGAGAGATTTGGAGGGAAAATGGAGCTTACCTCCCCCTCCCTTTCTTTTCCCTTCCCTTCCTCCTCTTTCCCTCCCCTTCCTTTCCTTCCTTATTTTCTATCCAAACAAAGCATAATGCAGCTCCCATCAAAGATTTACAGGTACTCTTCAAATTAACTTGAAAATGACTACCAACCCTAAACACTACCTTTTATTCTTTCAGCTCCTAACCCCCCCCCCCCTCTCTCCTTTTGACCCCTGGCAAAAAAAGGCATTAAGGTCGTGTGATCAACATGTTTAATGACTTGTGCATGGGGCATTCATATTGGACATATTACTTTCGTAAGACTTTTTAAAACCAAGGAAATCTACAACACCCCACTCAGCAAACAGTTACCAGTGACTCCCTCTCGTGAACCACTATTGTTATCTAGGTTGCACAAGAACAGATATAAAATTAGGTACAATACAAGTAAAATACAGAACACGGAATACTTCACACATGAATACATTTTTCAAGTAAAACTTATACGTAGAGTGAGAAAACTTCTTTTTTATGGTTGATGGTAAATCATCATTAAATGTGACAACGTCCAATGCATGGATATGGATGCCAAATATTTACAACCAGTCTTGGTGCAATTGAGCGAATTATTCCAGGCTGGAGAGTGAAAGTTGAAAAACAGAAATACAGACGGGCCTTGAATCTTTCGCCTTTAGAAGGTAGAGTTCAGGTGTCAATAAATATTTTATTACTTCCATTGTCTCAATATTTCATCAATCAGGCATAAGCTTCCAAAAAAAGGTCATTAAATCACATTGTTATTGTTCCCGTGAGATTCCAAGTTTTGTGCAGGTCTTTATTTTATGTTTATAGATCCAAAATATAAGAGAAATATATGAACATGGTTTTTAGCTAGACAAAAACTTTTTTGTGTTCCCTGCATGTTGCTTGTAAATGGACACACTAAGCTAGTTGACAATATATCCAAGCCACCTAGCTGGTCAATGACCAAACTATGTCAATCCCATTAGACACATAAATGCATTCCTCATCTTTAATTGCCGAGTCATATTTTCCAATTCTATCATCTTAAACCGAACACTCAAAACAACAAATGAAAACACAATACAAGGAAGTTCAAGTGAATGTAGGAATGACCTTAACATTGAAAACTCATACGATACTTAAACCATTTAACCAAGAAAACAAATCTCATATACCGCAGATCAAACCACTTGCCATAACTCTAACTAAACTAACTTTTGTGCTCCAAGAATCCTCGCGACACAATAACTTTTGTGCACCAAGAATCCTCGCGTCACAATTTACAAGCCCCATCATCCATTTTAAAATGTTTCAAGTTACATGCCCCCCATCTTTATAACTTTCCTCTCTTTTTTTCTTCTCTAAGTTGGGCCCAAATTGATTCACTCATTTTTTTTTTTCCTCTACACTTTTCCTTTCCTAAAAACCTGTGCAAATTGAAATGGTGCAAGTAATTGGGATGTAAAGAGTAACTATATCTGCCACACTTTAACGTATGGAAAATCCCAAAAATCATGTTTCTATTGAAGTTAAAAAAAAAATCGTCCTTCAGTGAAACTTGCGGAAAGTGTCTTCCATAAATAACCAAAGAGTACTTCCCTCATAGAAATTCAAATCTAAAAATGACTTTTCCTCTTAATAATCCCTTTGAATAAATTTGAATTAAATCCACAACAGCACCACCACTCGACCAAAGCCTTAGTCCGAAAGAATGAGGTTGATTGTATGAACCAAGTCCCCTAATATTGAAATGGTGCAAGTGAAACAAAAAGTATGGAGTAACTATATTCACTAAACTTCAATGTATAGAAAATCTTTAAAAGCATATTTCCATTCAAGCTTTAAATTCGCCCTTTGGAAAAATTTGAGGAAATTTCTTCCCTAAATAACCAAAAGAGTACTTCCCCTCATGGAAATTCAAATCTAAAAATGAATGTTCCCCTTTACAATCCCTTTGAATAAATCCCAATTAAATCCACAACACCACCACCACCAAAGTCTTAGTCCCAATGAATAGGTCGACTACATGAACCAAGTCCCCTAAAAGCTATCACGTTGTTGTTAATAATGGCAAAATAGAATTCTAGTGCTTGAGGCAAAATTATTGACACATCATTTCAATATTAATGATTCCGTGTTTCCGAATTGTATGGGAATTGAAATACCATATATCTACAAATCCCCAATTTAGCATTTGGGTTGCTTGTTTCCCTTTTGGTGTAACATAAGCCTATAAAACACGTTGACTAAATCATAAGCAACAAAATGTCCATTTTCTAACACAAAACTATAGATCCATCAACATTACTTGACCTACTAACATGAGTAACAAATCTATAAATCTGATACTTGTATTAATCTTTAACCATCTAACAAAAACTCCACAAAAATTACCAATTAATGTTCTTAATTTTCAACAAATTAAGATCAATCTGCTAATTAAAAATTTAACAAAAAATCAAAAGAAATTAAAATCTAACCCCAAACATTCTAATTACGCACAAAATCACACAATTACAAGCCTAATTACAAAAAATAATTAAAAATTAAAAATCATATCTAATGCATCAATATAAATAACCAACCACCAACACAAATGTAATACACAAACTACATCTCAATAAGCATAAAAATAAAAAATAAAAAAAAATAAAAAAAAAAATAAAAATCTAGTAAATCACGCAAATAACAGTAGAAAGTATTTTTTTTAATAAAAAGGGATTAAGAAAAAATACCAGAAGAAGAAGGTTTAGGATGACGTTGAGGGAATTTGATGCGAGGGATCCTCTTGAAAGCATGAGAAGCAGAAACAGCAGAAGCCATAATTTGTAATTGTGTTTGGGTTTAGGAAAGCAAAAACGTCTGCGTCTAAAAAAAGGGAAGATGAATTAGGACACGATATAAACGCAGATTTGCGACTAGTGGTGGTGTGGGGTGGGGAATGCCGTAGTTCAAGTTTTTCAACGTGACCTAGTCACAATTCACAACCCACGCTTTTCCGTTCGCGCTTTATTCCGTTCTTTTTTTTTTTTTTTTTTTTATAAGAGCCTCAAATTTGATGTTTGGATTTGGCCCAATAGCGACATGGACCGACTCATGTTATACATGTTGCAATTTTGAGTTTTTGCCAATTTTTTGCAACAAACAAAAAATACTGGTTATACGTGTTGCAAGTTTGCAACTCATTTTTCGCTCTAGGACATATAGGGCCATATTGACATATTGTGCCTCTCAATCCATTATCTATGTATTGTGTCACAATTTTTATAAGGGAGCTAAAATTTGGCCTCTATCCATGTGCCTATCGTATCATGTTGTGTCTTGGTCAAACTAGGTATTTTTCGAGTCTTATATTGTGCATTTTCAATTAAAATGCATCTTAGGCATGAGTAGCATGACCCATAGTTTGATACACGCAATATCTTGCATGTTAAAATTAGCAATGTATTTTTATGTTTTTTTTTATCGGTTTTGGGTGATGAT